ACACTACAGTTTCTGTGTTCAGATAAAAGGAAGGGTTTGAAGTAGAATTATTTACAGATATGATGGAATAATAATAAAAAAAAAAAGGTTGGTTTTTGCAGTATCTGTTCAGCTAGTCACAATAAGCAAAAACAGCATTGACACAGAGACGAATCGGGGCATCTCGTATTTAAAATCTCTTGTAAGTTTAAAAGACTTTTATATCTCCACACCAAACCACCTGTCTCCATATTTTTATTATATGGAAGAAAAATAGTCCTGTGGTTAGTAGATTATCTTGGGAAATCTGCAGTCAGGATTTCCTGTCCAGCCATGAATTTTTTGTATGGTCCAGGATAAGTCCATGGGAAGTGATGACAGTGGCCACTGAGAGGCTTTACTTTGCCTCAATGGGTTAAAGTTAACCATTGTGGATGACTCCTGTAAACTCCCTATCACAGTTCCACATAGCATAAGAATAAAAGTAACTTCTGTACCTCTAAGGGTTAGTGTCAGAAAGCAGGGAAACATTCAGTCTCTGGGATAATGACTGTCTAAGAATTTAAAATAAAGTGTTATTGTGCCTGCTTTTGCAGTGGTGTCACTGTAGCAGTTTATTCTGTGTGTCCAAGCCCTGTGTCTGACTGAAGTCCCACCAGCTCCAGTCAACATCTACAGCTGTTTAACCATCCCTGGATGCTCTGGGGGAAGGTGGACCGAGGCATGGATCTGTCACAGAGGAGAGCCAAGTGCCCACTGCCAAACCCTTGTCTGTCTTTGGGAAAAATTCCTTGTTGTGCCTGTTATATGAAGCTGAAACCCATGAAAAGTGCAAAGTGTTCAGATGCAGACTGCACTGAGGAAGGAAGGCTGGATAATTAGGTAGAAAGACAGACAGACTGGAAAGTCAGTCCTTTATTTTTTTTTATTTCAAGAGCAGCTATATCCTTTCTTCCTTTCAACACATAAGCTCAGAACGGCATGATCATGCAATCAACAGTGATTGGATAACCACGATGTTACTGTCTGGCACTCGAACTGTACCAATTAATCAAAAGTATGACTGCAACAACTGTGAAATAAAAATACATTTTTGTAACCTGCCTTTAAACCCTCTTAGAGTTTACTTTGCAATTGGGGCAGGTTAAGAGCATTATTAGTAACTGCAACCTGTTTTATAGGTTTTTAACCTTTTTCTTAACATCAACTCAATATCCATTCCTGAAGAGAAAACAGTAATTTACTGAAACAAAAAGCCTTTAGTGAGAGTTCTCTTTCTTTGCTTAGCATTAGAAGCTGGTGTTAAACTTGTGTAAAATAAATGTTTTCCTTACCTATAAAAAGGAGTTAAAGTAAGTTTTCAATAACCTATTTTTCTCTCTTTACGCTGTGCATATACTACCTATTAAAATCTATATTTAAAGAAAAGTTCCACCTTCCCTGTTCACATCTTTCTCTTACTATTTGAACATGGCACATTTTCACTATGTTTCTTGTTAAGATTTCACTATTTGTTTTTGACACCCAAAGCAAATGTTACTTTGCTCTGTACATGCTTAAAGTAAAAGACTGTAAGAAGTTTCCAGTTTGCATAGAAAAGACTGGTTTCATAAAATGTTTGTGTTTTTTTTTTTTTTTTTTTCTAATACATTAATGTTCAGATTTTATAGTCACCAGCTAGAAGAAAGTCTGGAATTGGAAGAACTCCAGTTTTCATGAGACTTAGAGTGAGCTACTTGAGATCACGCATGTCAGATGTCTTGCTCCTACTACCATGCCCTGCTACCTTTATCAGGTTTCTTATTTGAGCATGCTTATTTGAGATATTTCTAGTGAAAAGAATAGGAATTTCTGGTATGAGCGTGAATCTTGTAACCATGACAATACTTATCACCCTGAACTCTCTTAACAAATAAGTGCTAATGGAAAAGCAATGAAATATTGTTCTTGAGGACTGACTATGAATGCTTGGGTAAGCTTTTTTTGGAGGAAACCATTGCATTTCTGCCTGCTTTAACTAATGATTTCTTTTATAGAATCGATAATGTAAAAGAGCTGAGATCAGTCCCATCCCTTGATACCTCTTCCCAATTAAGACAGTGGATCATTGTATTAATAATATTATTTAGTGACTATTCAGCATTTTTACTCTGGTGAGATACTGTGCAAACATTAATTAATCCCCACCAAAGCCCTGAAACCTCACTGGGAAATATTAAACCTGTTTTACAAATAAGGGCCTAGAGCCAGAGATTTTTCAGTACCAGAGAGATCGTAACTTGAAGCTTCTTGGGACAGTGAGCAGGTATCAGAGTCTAAAATAATGAATAGCCCTGCAGTTAGAGCTACCTTGAAGAATATCATCTCTATTCCTGCCTTGACCTGGGGCAATGATTTTACTTCTCAAGGAAAGCCTTTTCTGTGCTTTTTTCAGGGATTAATGTCTCTAGCAGTCCTCGAGACTGTGGTTGTTCATACAAAATAATTACATAGTCATTGGGGTATATATATTTCTATAGAGAGAGAGCGAGCCCATTGCCACAGCCCAGTGGTTGGAGTATCCAGATTCAGACTTCTCTCCACTGATTATTTAACTTTATACACGTGCAACAGCAAGAAAAAGTGGAGCCTAAAAAAGATCTAATAGTTTGTAGCTTTTTCACTAATGTTATGTTGAGTTTGTGACTTTGAACTCAAATCTTCAAGTAAAGGAACCCAGCATGGGGAACAGACAGACAGACAGATATATCCCAGTTTTATGTAGAGGTATTAATCACTAGCACAGCTGTAACTATAGAGCTTGTCTGCTTGGAACTTGACTGATTATCCCCAAACTTTTATAAAGGTCTTCTCAATTTCCATCTTCCATAGTATGCTCCTCCTTGTTTTACAGTGATTCTCTCTGAGGGAGAATGGGACATAATTTGTTTTTACATTACTGATGGTATCCAGTTCACCTATTTTGGCTATCTCCAGTTTGGCAGCTAAGTCAGGAGGACAGGATTTCGTTCTGCAAATACGAAAGCCATCCACCTCTCTCCATTCATTAACTAGTGATCTTTATTACTTACTTTCAGAGGACTCCAATAGGGATCCAAAATTTATGAGCAATCATAAATTGTCCTTCCTTGCTTTTAGCATGTTGTTTGTGGCTTTTTTGTCCAGTCCTCTGGTCATAAATAGATGAAGTTTTTGAAAGCAGCTTAGTTTCTTTGTAGTCTGGTTGAAATTTTATTCTTATCTTTTACTTTACTGGTTTTCATTTCTGTTGACTAATCCCCATCTTCTTCCTAATCAGGGTGCTGGATGATTGATCAGTTTAGCACATCTTTGTGTTAATCTTTGATTACCTATTTCATATGATGGCCCTTAGTCCTGTAGATACCTGACATTTAATACTATTGACTTATACATCATTTACTCTAGCTTCAGAAATCCTGCAGTTCTTTTCAACCGAATGGGAAAGAGAACAACTTTGACATACTTCTAGAGCACGATTCATCTCACCCTAAGTTAAACTTCTAAAGTAGGCCAAATCTGTAATGTCCTAGAAAAGTCTATCACTCTTCATTGACTCTAAAGGAAGTCCTGGTATCTTCAGTTTAGACATCTACATCTGAATCACTTTCCAACTGTTAGATAAGATGAGATGAATTCTACTCCAGGGCATCTGAACTCCTTCCCCTGTGTTGTGAAATGGGGTAGCAGGGCAAAAAAAACCCCAAATGTCCAAGAAGGATGAGAGGTGTGTACATTCCATGAGTCCTCCATAGGATTCACTTGTGAGATTCCTAGGGTCCTCATGTTTAACCGAATCTTCCCTCTTACACTATTTTAATTAAGGCAGAAACTGCCTGAAGGTTCTTCAGTCTCTTCCTTAACATAGCCTTCTGTCCGATCTTTGGAACTTATCCCATAGCTTTTTTTCCGTTGTTTTCTAATATTAAGTGGACAAACAAGTCTAATACAGATATTTTTACACCGAATGTTTATGGAACTCCCTGACTTGAGCGTATATCAGTGGTAACACTTCTTGTTGCAGAAAATCCTGTTTTAAGAGATTATTTAAACATAATGATATCTCCTGCCTGAATTCCTGTTCCTTGTTCAAACTGTTTGGGTTTATTCCTTAATATAGCAACTATGATTTATCTTCCTATCGATGTGCAACAATAACGTCAGAGTAAGAATACATAATAATCTTGTTAAATACAAAAAAGTCCTAATAACACAAAATAAACTGTTGTGATGTATGAACACGGGCATATGCATAAAAGGAGAAAAAATACTGTTACACTACCTTCTGAAATGTAAGTATGCTCACTTTGAATAAAGGGAACTTTAACTAGCAAACACACAGAAACCACTTTCCATATTTCTATTCCAAAAATAATCACATAAAGTAATTGCATATAAATCAAAATGTTGATGGATTTCACATAAAACAGTGACAATCTGAATATAAAATTTCAGGAACAGAAACTCAATCTTGCACAGTCTAAAAGGTATAAATCTGGCTACTCTGAAGCCAGTGGGACAGTCTACTATTAGCTTTGTGAGACAGAAGTATCAAGATTTCACTCATGGGCTCTATGAGTTTCTTATTTCTTCTTACTTATGTTAGTTTTTTAAATTTGAAAGATTGAAATATTGAAAACTCTATCTGCAATTATTATGTTTTCTAAGGGGTAAGACAAAAAGTAAAAGACAAAAGAAAGCTGACCATTTCCTTGAACACCTTTTTCTTTTGAATTCTTGGTTGCCTGGATGTTACTCAAATCTGATGTTGTTCTGCTTTCGATTCTCTAACCTTATATAGCAGGTGAGAAATTCCCAGAAGGATTGGACTGAGAGTTTTTTGGCCACTCTCATTAACAGAATCTGGTGCCATGCCTGATGTGGGCTTTGTGGCTGGAGGAAGGCTGTACCACCGAGCAGCCTCCCGCCTCCTCACCCCCACGGCTGCTCCCAGCCTCTGAATGTACAACCAGTACAAGTTATCTGAGAGATGATATCTGTACCTAGCTCCTCCTCTGGCGTCCCTGGAAAACTGAAGCCCGACTTGAGCAGATCGCCACCCTCTTCTTCTGAAAAGACAGAAACAAAGTAGCTATTTAATAACTCTGATATTTTTGTGTACCCAGACATAAACTCTCCACTAGTTTTAAAATCCACTCTGTGATTCCTATTACCATGTAGTATCTTTGATACTGTGAAGCTGTTGAGGTGTTATCATCTGCAGTATCTATTAGTCTTTGACAGTTGTTCTAGTGTTCTTTTTTTTTAATTATTTTTAAATTTTGCCAGATGTTTTCACATTGCTAGTGTCATAATATTCATAAATGGTTTATTTTTTAACATCTTGCACATTCTTCTTTCCAGCTTTGATTAGTCACGTTGAATTCTACTGTCTTTTAGTCTTAATGTATTTATTCCAAGAAGAATCTTTGTCAGTCCTCCAGTTGTACTTTTAGCACTTCCCACCTTTGATGATAATAATGCCACTCATGATTTTCAGGCCACTTTCTTTACCTTTTATTCACAGCCATTTCAATTCTGCAATTCTGAGCTTTCACAATGCTGTGATGGTGACTCTCTTATCAACATTTACTTTTGTGTCAGAGACAACTTCTGTAATTCTGGAAGAGTGCTTAATCTCAGATGATATGTCTATGCTGCATGAATGCAGCGAGGTACGCAGAAACCTGCTGAATAGCCTTTAGCTACCCTGCCTATATCCCTTTCCGAATTGCAGCTTGTTGCCTCTGCATTGCGTTATTGTCATGCTGGCATACAAATTAACTTGGACCTGGCACCTAACTCAAATATTTGTAACAGGGAGCTGCATATGGAAAACTATGTCAGTAACACTTCCTTAAGATTGTCTTGAGAATACAAAGATTAGGATACAAAATATCACAGTAGCGTGTTTCATATAAGTACACAATAGTATCTTTTTTTTTTTTTTTTAATGTTTTTGTCCTATTATCCATATTGACTGGTCTCTCAGGTGAGTGGAATTTATTTGAGTATATGCAGCTTTTCATTGTGCTCTTTCTTACCATCTGTGCGTGCTACACATACAGACACCTCAAAAGAACAGCGAAAGAATGGAGTACTCCATAGCCTCTCAATATACATACAACCAGCAGTTCTTCAGAGAAAGACAAAATCAGGTATTGCAGACCATGTTTCTGTAGTGCACAACCGAGGACTGATGACATCTAAATAACTCACATCAGTTCATGTTCCTTATATCCTCAGGCAGACGTTCCTCTAAGTCTGAACCAACTCAGACTTTTCACAAGAGTACCTCAATCCCTATATCAGACAAGCTGTTTTTTTGTGATTCAGTTTGCAACAGACACACTGTTTTGCCTGTTTCAATGCTCCATTTAACAAATACATGCATTTTGTATATTTCTTGGTCTTGGTTGCACTTTTTATTTGTACTATGATTTTTTTCCCAATTATCTCACAGCAAGCAAAGGGAGTGAATACTCTCATGTGGATACTCTCAAACAATTGTTACTGGCTTCGAAAATTTGTGAAGTTAAGACTATACAATTGATAACAATGGGTAGTATAGCATAGGTCCTGCATTGAAAATAAGTCCCAAGGATGTTAAGAATGTTGAATAAGGTGAGCTGTCAAATAAACATCTTGTTTATAAACTCAATTGTTAAATAAACTCACTCTGCTAAAATACAGCCTACTAGAGAGATCTCGTTAAGTGACGGATAAAAAGTCATACACAATTTAAAAAATGACTGGCATATGAATTTAAATTAAATTTCATTTGGAGAGGTAATGGACAACTCTAATTAAATAAAAGCACAAATTAGGCAGTTTCCATGGAGACTTTGCTCACATGATCTGCCTATATTGTATAACTCATATGCCTGTCCTCTAATTTGGCTGCACAAGAGTAAGGAATTCAATGAAAGTTATAATAAAAATATTCAGAAGGATCCTTTACATTCATGTAAGTAGGAGATCTTACTGTTAACTTTATGATAAAGAAGCTTTATATTGAAACAGTAGGTTTGTATTTTTGAAAAAAACTATTAATTTATTCCAAAGTAATATCATGTACATATATTCAGAAAAACTTACAGAATAATCCAAAGAAAATAAAATGCATAACATTATTTCTCCCTTGCAAGAAGTCAGCATTATTCTCACAAGCTCTGTCCAAAAATAGACTAAAATTTTATGGGTAGGCTAAACTAGCCTAAACATTTCTGGGTTTGGAATGTTTGAGGAAAAAAAGAAGAAAATAAATTTCCTTCTCAAATTGAAAGGGAAAGGTCATGCAATAGGATCTGTAAATCAGATTCTGACTCTGCCATAAGAATTCCTGTGCAATTTTGGACAAATCAGTTAATCTCTTTCTGCCTCAATTATCCAGTCGAATTAGGATTAGAATTCATTTCTTTCTCATAACTATCCTATATGAATACATTTGTTAGTGTCATTGAGCCTGTGGTCTAGAAGAGTTTATAGAGAGTGCATGAAAGTTAGAATTTCCATCCTTCAAGAAAGCTGTGTTCTGTTTTGAATAGGGTCAATTGCAAATGTTTCAAAGGAATTTAGAATTGCTTTGTGATTCCCTTAGGTTTATGAATCTGCATGAGGGATATGAGCATCTCTTAGTGATTGGTTTACTTCTTAAGTATGAGGACTTCTTATTTCTTTATATTTTATGAATATACCTAGTCACATCATTAATTCATTGTTTAGACTGTCTTTTCAAAAGGCTATTGTTAGTTCCTTCGGTCCTTGAAGAGATTCAGTTTTTGTATTCTGCATTTATGAAGCATAAATTAAAGTCTCAGTGGCTCTTGCGGTACTACAAAGACAATCTTTGTGTGAAGTTGAACTGTACTTCAAAGTCATATTATTTCTTCAGCAACAGACATACATGGTTTATTCAGCTTACAATTTTCCTAGAAATTACCATTTTTATTATTGACCACAGAAACAAAAAAACATATTCTTCACTGATGAGCACAGCAGCAAACTTCATATCTCATGGTAATGAAGTCAGGCAGATTATCACAGAATTCTCATGCATGAAAGTGTCATAAACTGCATGCATTCATGTTATGCTATTCACCTCCTCTATCTCATAGCTCCATAGTATTTCAGCTTGCCCTTTGCTCAAGATGGGCCTACTGGTAGGATATTCTACACCAGTGGGAGAAGAGGAAAATGGTAGTCTTACCATGGAATGTTTTGATGGGCAATGAATTGCAAAGAAAGAGATTTTGAAAACAGGATGATTTACAGTCTAAGGTTTTAAACAATGCACAGAACACACAGTCCACAGACAAGGGACACAATTACTAGTTAAAATCTCTTCTCAATATACAAACTACTGCATCACAGAATAGTCTAAATAGAAAGTAAAAACCTGCCTCTGAAACTGAAACTAAAAAAATAGTGGGAGAATTCTTCACTCTCAACAGGGCTCAAAATAGTGACAAAAATTTATAGGCTTTAAAAGTGCAGAGATGCCTGCTCTTGTGAAAGTTGAATGTATAGTAAAATGATGCTGTGATCTGCATAAATAGGAGAGCATAAACTGTCATTTACATCTAGTACCTCATTTTCTTTTTAAAAAATGTGATGGGTTTGTCATGCATTCCAGTGCAACACTGCACAGATAACACTCAAGACTCTGTTAGGTACCTTTCATAGCTGAAGTTCTCCAGACTTAAGCTTGGAAACATCAGGAGCCATTGCTGAGCTGGAACCAGCTTGACAGATCCAGATGGCTCATTCAACCCTGAGGCTACTACATGTACAGTGGGAAATTACATGGGCCAGTGCCTGAGATCAAGCTGGCATGGCATAGCGTTTGTCCTCAGAACAGGCTGGATGTCTGTCAGGAGCACGGCCCGGCTTGTGCTGTTCCTTATCCTGCTAAGAAGACATTACCTAGGGGGAGTGCTGGTTGGCATGGGCCAAATCTGGGCAAGGGCATGTGCTGTGGTAGGGATGATAGCTGCCATTGCTCAGGCGTGTGGTGTGTTCCTGGTGAGCTACAAATCGAGAGGGAGCCTTAGCTGCTTCTACTCAGTTTTCTCTGTCTAGAGAATAGGTAACAATCCAGTGTAAATCCAGAGTAAAACTACTGAAGGCCACAGAATTACATCTGCGTAAAGCTTGGATGAAGGAGATGCAGCTAATCTCTTGGGTGGTCAATTTTGAATCATTCCTGAGCTGCACTTGGTACTGGATTGTGGGTCAGTAGGATGTTACTTTGTGTTCTGGGTCAGGGAAGTAAAGTTTCTGTAAGAGCTTATGGATGCAAGCTCTCTTCTATCCTGTTGCTCTCTGCTTATGCTTTAAGAGAGCATTTGGACAGTCAGTGCACAGAAAACACTTGATGTCGCTGCTTTTCCTCAGTTCAATAATCACTTTACCAATCCTTTGGATTTTATCATCTCAGTTTTAACTTCTCGATCTACTCTCTGAGCCTGATCTATCAGTTTAAATTCTCTTTCTTCACCTGAGAAGTCTTGCAACCAAGATATGCCTCTATGTTGTCCCTCATTTTTTATGCACTCATTCTGCCCTTAATAACCAGGCGTCCTGCTTCCATCTCCTAATCATACTTTTTCCATAACCTATCCATCCACAAAACAGGCCCCATTCTCAGTGGACTTGTTGCACACATACTTTAAAAAGCTCACATCAGCAAGACTTACAATCAATTAACTGCCTTCTCCATCACAATATGAGAGTAAGACTGAACTACATCCAATATTGAACTTCTCAGTTCATTGGATTTTAATTTATTTATTATTGGCTTGCTCTGGACCTCCCACTGTTTTTTTACTGTGCTGTGTGCTTTTATTTCAGCCTGGAAGCTCCCTATGGTAGCTGTTGTTCTTTTAGTTCTCTCTCATATAGCACCTGGCATATTAACTCTGACAACAGATGAAAGAAAACACAGGCCCTGAAATGTCTGGATTAAACAGCAGGTGCAACTTCATTTGATCACATAATTACAGAGCTTAAACCATGTATAGAGTAGGAATATGGGTCTCTCACCATATCACTCCATGATCTGAGAAAA